TCTTTGACGAGACTGGTGCATTCCTGTAGACTAGAACTAAAAGAGGAGGATATAACGTTCCGGCTCGATACTGGCTCTACTTTGTCACAACCTATACTTCCTTTCCTCTTTTTCCTTGCCAATTTTATAGGACATTGAAACACTTCTGATACTTCTGATGGAATCTGCCAATTAAGAACATTCTTAAGTTGTTGGAGAATTTCTATAAAAACGTTTCTGCTTTACCTTGATCTTTGTTTCAGAAAATTTTAGTAGATTGTAACTGTTGTCTTTAAGATTTGAATGTTTTTAAATTGCATTATGATACCTTAATGATTTGATACATTATCAAGATTTTGAAAATCTTCATTTCTCTATATACTCTATGTATATTTATAAAATTTATTTTCTATTTTTGTCAGATCTTAATAATTCGTAATTCCAGTAATTTCAATACTTTCAATTTTTGAAAAGTGAAATCTAATAGTCAATTTATATTCATTTACTGCTAGCTAGTTTAAAATACCTTATTTCAAATTGTTTATTAAGCAAATTAGAATTAACTTCTCAACAGCCCAAATTCCACAAAAGAAATAAAGAAATTTTCCATATCCAATTTTCGATCAACAAAATCTGAATTATTCTTGACTTGTTAAGAATGTTATCATGCCGCAACACTTGCAAGTTTCATTAGAATTCCAAGATAAACTGGATACCATACAACTCTCACTTCCTGCAACCATTAATCCAATCAAGTTTTTATTATTTATTTTACACGTTAATAAATCCTTCTATATTGCAAGAATTCCAAATATTTATTTCACACGGATCAGTATAGAATATTTTATACAAATTTTATGATCTTCAATTTACACATATATCATATTCATAAAATTCTCACGTTAATTAACGTAAGAGAGATCTGACAAATTCCTTCTAATAAAAGTAAATAAAAAATTTTCTTCACTTTTACATAATATCCTTACTCCCACTATTTTCAATAATATAACATAACTCTTACATAGAATAAAGTATTATTACTATCTATCGACAGACTCGAGAATAAAAATCTCTTTCACTTTCCCCAGTCAGCACTTACCTGAATCCTGTTATCCTGAATATTTATTTTCGTTTAATTCGACATTCATCGCTTACACAGTTACGTTAACGCGACCGGTATTTCATATTCTTATATAAGGGAAATTATCAGGAGGGGACTGGTGTTAGCATAACTCCTCGAGAAAGGGGTTGTGATCTAGCCAACAGCCACAGTCGAATCACAGTATTTATTGGCATGATCGTAATTCGATCATTCCTATTTTTCCTATTTGCATTCGATCGACATATAACAGGTTTCCACCACCATGCGACTGGTTTCCAACCGGTCCAAATATTCTAGTTAACGCGTTTCTAAGCGCATTCGTGCATCTATATAATACGTGCTCGATAATTAACGACAACACCGCGTAGTTGGTCACAAAATTTGTCGCGAGTCGGAAAGAGAAGAGAAAGTGTTTCGATTTCGAGTACTTGCGACGCATAATACCCGTGTACGTGTAATGCACCGTGTGCGGTGTACACGTAACTTGACATTTTAGTCACCACAGCAACGACAATGAAAGAGAAAGATACTGACAAGTGGAAAAAATACGTGGAAGGACGTTCGTACGCGGAATGCATAGTTTAACTTGCATAGTGACATGGCCGGTATAACTTATAAGCTTGATATGTTTGTAGAGAATACACTTCCGCAATAGTACTCCAGAAATTAGTTCAATGAATCATGCATAGATTGAGCTCTTTGTGCATTTATACAGACAAGCACAATGCATGAAATATTCGAATTGCGTTAGCTCTTGTTATAATACATACTCGATAAAGCAAATCTACTAAACTCCAGTGTCATAGTTGTTCATAAAAAAAAACAAATTTCTGCACACAAACATCCGCAATCGAGTCACATTTATTATGGTATTTTGATTTTATCTTGAGCTAATTTTATTCGCCTTTCTTCAGTGTTATATTTAGATTTTGATGTCTTATCGCTTGCAATTTATTTATTTTCTCGGTGTCGATTGTCTCTATTTTGTTTTGTGGAAGGACTTAACACTCGTATTTAAAACCTGTGAAAGAAAAGACTGATTAATCAATTAATTTCAAGCGTTTCAAAGATATTTGATTGTGTTGTAGTTGTTGGCGTGCATCACTGCGCTGGCTTCGGCCCAATTTAACCAAGATGACAATTTACCACCAAAAGGACCACCCCTACGATCAGCTCGTTTCCAAAAGTTGCCATCTGCTCGACCAGCACTTCCAACACAGGCTGCACTTGCGAATCAACGAATTCGCCGTCCAATTACTTTTAGGTACCGTTAGATTTACAGTGTTCAACGTTTCAACAGAACAAGATATCTTTCTCTCTCTCCCTCTATGGTTCTCCGAATTCTAATTTTTTTAAATCGAAAATATATAATTTTTTAATATTTAATTGCTCCAATTGTAACTTATTTAATTTACTTCGAAGTATAAACGTAACTTAATAACCAATTGCTAAATTACTCTAGTATTACCACACTGTAACATGTACGCGTGCCACTTTTACTTCATCAGACCAAAAGGGCCCGAGGATTCTATCGGGACAGGTCCAGGCTTCACGGCGATCAGATCATTCCGACCAAGTCTACCCACAGGACCGGCGCCACTTCCTCAACAGATCAAACCAGTAAATGAGGAGCCAGACGAGGAAATCCGGAATCGTGAATTGCCTAGAGATCACGATCATCAAGATGACGATGCCGACTTAAGCGACGAGCCGCTCGACAGCCAGGAGGAAAGCGAAGAAAACGTACCATCACGTGGCGTTTCAAATCTCGGCTCTGTGGCAAAAACGTCCGCTATAATTGGCCCAACGGTACAACCGGTGCAATACCGTCCTCTCTCAGGAAATCCAAGTGGCAGAGGAAGTATAATACCAACAGCGCCAGCGCCAGTTCAGTATCGACCAACAGCAAAACCGAACAAACTAAGGAAACCGATAGAAGAGCCATTTAAGCAACAGGTTAAACCATCTACAAAATCAGTAAATCCATCTCAACCTTACGACACTCGCGGAAAGAAGCCTGTTGCGCAGGTTAGTCTTGAAACAGCACTCTTCAACGTTTGAGAGATTTCTTTTTCTTCAATCTGTTTGTCACTACTTGATTAATTAGGGGACACTTCCTCGTCTCTGATGCGACTTGCCTAATGAAAAAAAAAAATGAAATTCATTAAAAAGTCAACCGAGATATTACAATTGAATAATTATTACAATAATATTGCAATTGGATAAGACTGTGCGTGTTATTACACAGTATTATGTCACCAGTTAATTTTACTATATGCAAGTTATGATATAAGCATCAAGTTAGAAGATAGGATCTCGTGACAGGTTCAAACTGGATAAATTGTAGAAATGCGATTTCACGACGGAAAACGCATTAACGCACTTTTCTAAAAGTGGGACATGATGCTTGTAGTATACTTATATAATGTCGGGAGAGAGTTGATCTAAAGTTGATGAAATTAACCTGAAGTAATATTGTTAAGTAAAGAAAACAATCAATTACATTATACCACTTGTAATATATATATAATTACATTATACTTGTATATGTATATGTACTTGTATATGTACTGTAATGTACTTGTACTTATATATATATGTGTGTGTGTGTGTGTGTAATATATATATAATTACATTATACTTGTATATGTATATGTACTTGTATATGTACTGTAATGTACTTGTACTTATATATATATATATATGTGTGTGTGTGTGTGTGTACTTGTATATTTACAAGTATATATTTGTACTTG